GCATCTTTGATCATCCAATTGATGACAGCAACTCTTTTAGCAACAGGCACGACTTGTTGGAGTTTGCGCTTGCGCTGGTTGCTTGTCTGTTCGTCCTGGTAGTCTTGCTCGACGTCCTCCTGGCGGTCGTCATCTGCTTCCACATCGTGGAATACCACTTCGGCTGCGTGTACGTCCATTGTTCGACGTGGAACTGTTGTGCTGGCTGCTGCACGAGCAAATGCAGCGATGATTGGCGATGGTGACGTTAAAGCCTCAGGGTGCCCAACGCCATTACCATTTCAGAAAATTGAAATCTGCACTATTTCTCCACCACTCAAATCAAGAATTTGCCATCACATATACTGTATTAGTGTGGACCGCACTAATTTTGAATCCGCACTAATTTCCAATCCGTACTAATTACGGTAAACGGTGTAGTTTTTCTCAGTGAATCCGATTCTGGCATTAAAATACCTTGATTTTCGAGTAATGGTCGAAATACGTTTCAAATGTCGCATGCAAAACTCTCATAACATTATATATTGTAACCTTGAGTTGTAACGGTTACAAAATGATTTAAAATGGTCAAATCAGATACAAAACTTAAGTGTAAAAGAATGCGTCATTAAAATATAACTGTAAGAACATATTTATATTTTTAATAAAATAGAATGGGTAGTGTGTGGATGGTCTCGACCACTGTCAAGCAATCAAAACATCAAAACTCCGACGTGATTCAGATTATTGATTCGACAAACACGCGAAATTTGGAAGTTCATAGCGAATTCACAATACTACTGTACGTACAGTAACGTTATTAATAGTACTACTTTACTTCGAAGTACTACGTAGTAGTATTTATTTTGCAAATGGGATGAAATAATAATTGGGGGACTGCCAAAACCTGAAATGATCTCGTGAGATATTTCGGCGCACCCAACAATAGTGTAAGCTTACTGTACTCCCCTGTTCCCTTTTACTACTACTTTTGGCAGTTAACAAAATGTAAACAGGTGTTGTGTAAACTGACACGATTTATGCACTTTCGTGGTCAAATTTGACTCTATTTGAGCGTATTTTCATTCCACAATCTAGGAGCGTAAAAAAATCTCAACGCTAGGCTCTGTTATACGAGCCTAAGCGATGTGGAATTCAAGGAGGTTTAGGTTGGGTTTTTTTAGGTTGAAGTTAGTCGAGACCGACGAAACTTTCGAGGTGTGATTTCACGTAAACTAACACGAAGTTCATGAATCTGATTACATATTCGTCGAAAACTTGGTGAGAGGTTTACATATGCACAAAAAAATTGGAAGGATTTGGACAAAGTTTAGGTAGGTTTTTTTAGGCAAAAGTATTGAATTTTCAGTTTACATTTCGATATCATTTTATATTCATTTTAAATTAAGGCTTGTCCAACTTTTCATTCAAAATTATATTTCGTTTTGCCAGTTTTGCCCAGGCGAAACTTCCTTTCGCGATTTCCACAGATCCAAATGTACTCGGAGTATACGTATATGCTACTGTACTGGACTACGACGTACTAGTAGTACTCGGTCCAACAAGAATGATCACATTTGCTTTTTCTCGTCCTCTTTTGACTTGATTAAAGTACGAGCATGTCTCCCCAGATGCCTGTTTGCGGTTGTGAGACGAGTGCAACCAGTGGTCGCTACCGTTATCCTTCACTTACTGTACAGTTAACGTGACACAAGCTTCCCCATTCAAACTCGTATTTGAGCTCACGACATACAGCTCCACACATTGAGTGGTCTACTACCCCTTGAGCATGAAATTCCACCGCCTAAGCGACCTGTAGAGAGCTCAACTGCTGTCATTGTAAACACGAGTTCAAAAGCAACATGAATGTACATACAGTTGTACCGATGTTAACGTGGTCTGCCGGAATTCTTGCATGCTATATCCGTTGGTTGGCCTACACCTGGACAACAAATTGGAAGGGCCTACATCGACGCCAAGTAAAAATAAGATCGAAAATGTAGCCACCAACAAGTCATGAGTTGCAGCTCCAAGCAAGGCTGGTGCGAGTATTATTGTGTGGTCGCTGACAGTATACACACTCGAATGATTTGAACTGGTCCATAAGGTCGGTGGGAACATGATGCGGACGAAGGACTCTACCGCCGTTGCTGGTTCGCGTTCGACAACGAAGTGTACAGAGATGGGAAACCAACAACCCAACTAACTACATGTACGTCTCTCTGTTATTGTCAACCGAACTATGTACAGTATGGGTCTGCTATATGAGCCCGTAGTCCTTGAGCAGTGCGTCAGCATTGGGCGGCCGTCGTCGAAAGCTCTTAAATGCGTCCAATGGATGTGCTTTTCCTAGCAATGCAAACAGCGTGTCGCGGCAGTCACGGCCCACGGCCTTCCACTCATCTTCGTCGTTGGCTTCTTTGAATCGACCGTATGCGTCCGACGACATGACTTCCGACCACGTGTAGCTACACGCAAACACAGGCATCGTCAATTTTCACAACACTTTCACATGTCACATGTTTACAACAGTGTCACATGGAGAGTAGTAGTTAGGACCTGTAATAGCCTGCGGCGTACAACCCCGAAAAGATGTGGCTCAGCGAACACAGCGACTTGTCACTTTCCAGTGATGGCAACACGTCAAACCTACAGACCGTGACAACCAGACCAAACTGAGACACGGGGGGGGGGGTCGTACTGCTTGGCCAATGTAAAACTCAACGCAAACATCGATTCCGAGCTGGCGGTCGAGTCGAACGAGTGGTGGAGACTCAAGTCCAACGAGGCTTTCTGCAGCTGGGGCAGCATCTTGACGGCCGCGACAAACCGCCTGGACGCGACCAACTTGTCAAAGATCGAGTCTGGCAATGGCTCGCCAGTGACCACATGTCCCGACACCATTTGGATCGTTGCTAGCCATCCATTTATCATTGGAATGTGATATTTAGGGGAACCATAGACGAGTCGACTACTCCTGTACATACGTCGATGGTAGCAAAAGTTGGCCATCAACTGGGAGGGTACTTCGACGGCATCCCATTCAACGCCATGGGGTCGCGACGCCGCCGTGTGTTCGGCACTTGTGAGCGCAATGCGAAGGCCGTAGCCAAGACAGTGGAACAGCAAGGTCACGTTCGAAAACGATAGCAGTGTAGGAGTGGTTGACGGCAATGGAGCCTGCACTTACGAATGAATGCTTCGACAGGCTTCAATACCAGGACGAGAGACTACACTTACAGGTGCTGCAAAGTTGAACATCAACGCAAACACGGGAATGCGCACATGAGCTTTGTCATCTGTGCGAAGAACCGAGCTGCGCCCCACCATGACCTCTATCCACGCCCCTGCTTTCTTTTCGTCGCCCCTTTCGTACAGATCCAAGTAAAACTGGCTGATCACGGGGGTGCCGGGCTGGTCCTGAGCTCGAATCTGGTAGTATTGCACGTCGGGATGCCACGTTTCTTGCGGCGTGTCTGCTGCCTACGATACGGTGGATTTGTGTTGCAATGTGTCACTAGCATAGTAATGTGGATACCACAGTAGTAGTTCGTACCTCGATGCGAAGTCCAAATAGCCGAGCAACAAACTCAAACAATCCGTCTAGAACCTACCGCAACATCCGCCACACAAGAATGATGTTCCTACTACCCGCCACCATCGACGACGACCCGGTATATACATCACATTACTCTGGGAAGGGGAAAGTATGACTGAACAAGGTCGTCGTGCAGGTCATATCGTTGCTTGCGTAACTTGACCGCCCTACCAGAAGGCCACCAACTCAACGCCACAGCCATTCATTCATTCGTTTCATGCATCACATCCAGTGCCTACCAAAAGCTAAAATCCCATTTCTGCAGTGGTAGGACTGCGCCTTGACTGGCGGCATAGGCAGACACGTCTGCCACTTCCGCCTCGCCCAGCGGACGGAACTTGTTGCGCATGCCGTCGATGAGGTCCTGCACGGCCGACACGGACGGCGCCATCTTGTCTTCCAACCCCATCGCAGCGTACGATTCAAAGCCCAGAAGCTGCGCCCGGTCGCGCCTCAATTGAATCATCTGCTGCATGATTGGCGCGTTATCAAAGGGTGCGGCGCTCGCGATGGCCTGATTGGCTAGGTAGATCGTTTCCCGAAGGCGTCGACTGGTAGCATACCGCTGCACGGCCCAGTACACGGACCAGTCTAATGTAAACTTCCACGGCCCTTGGGTTGCGGTGGCAAGGTCGTGTCCCGCTGCTACAGCGTTCTAACCCAGACCCATCGAATCATCATGTTGAGCGTTTGTGCATGATGGTTAGCCATGCTGCGAAGGTACGTACGTTGGCGGTAAGCGCCACGATCGCGTCGGGGAGTCCGTCCATTTCGGCCTTGTCGTGCACGAGATACGAGAATGCGTTGGTCGAGTCCAGCACGTTGCTGTCAAAGCGATTGCTCTGGACATGATGGACCAGCAAAACATTTGAGGGAGTGGTCACAATAGTACGAGTCTAGGCAGCGTATACCAGCTCTTTGAGTTTGACGTGAATGGCATTGAATGTAGCTTTGTCGGTGTCGTTCAATGCGACGCCGTTCAGAGTCGCGTCGAGGATCGCTCGGTCCAAGATGCGCTAACGAATACTACTAGTAGTACGGTGGCTGGCTGGCTTGGTAGGTAAAGGACAAAGCAGGTAGATACTGTACCTGCTGCTCTGCTGTCAAATCCTCGTGAAACCCACGGCTCGCACGAAGGCGCTGCATGGCACGAAACACGGGCACGCTCTGCGCCCGTCGACTCTGAATCGTCAGCACTTCAGCCTGGACCTCGCTCTGCGCGAGTCGCAGCTCGGGGGAGTCGGCTACACTAGAAAGGTGGATGACGATGCGCCAGAGGCGATTGACGGGGTCATCGATGATCTTCAGTCGGTCCATGACCGTCGCCCACGAGATGTCCGCGTCTGGGTCGGACAAGTCGTCCTCGATCGCGTTCACGTCCAGCGCCATTTCCGCGATGGCGGCGCGCACGGCCGGTACGATGTCAGACACACGAAGCGTCGCGAATGGCGGCAGCGAGTAGTCCTCCAAGCACCGCGTCAATGGATTCACCACCATCGCGCAATGGATGCTGAATGTTTGTGTTTGGTGAAGTTCGAAGAAAAGACTGTTCTTACAGTACAGTAGTACGACATTCAATCTGATCCGACGAGAAATTATTTCATACTATAGTACTAGCAGTAACTGTACTACTAGTAGTACTATCGTTACGAAACCGATCCCCAAGCCCGCGATGGTCATGTCAACGCAGTATATGCACCCACACCTCATTGTATCTGGAGAGGCGGAGTGCTGAAGTTGAGCGTTTGCTGATGACGAAAGACCTAGTATGAGTTTACTATTACGGTTTTATTTTTAGTACTACTAGTAAATTCACTCTACTGTAGAACCCAGTACGACATCAATGTACTACTGTTCTGGTACACAGTACTACTGTAGTATTCAACTTTTCTTCGCTGTGAACAATTCCTCGCTGCAGCAGTAGTACTGTTGTTACGTAATCATCTTACACCCCTGGACTCCTTGCGCTTACATACAATGAATGCTATTCCCGGGGTTAAGCTGCATCGCCAGTGGTTACCTAGCGCTAACGACTGAGATGCAGCTTAACCAGCTGAAATGAGTTGTCTTGAAATTACACTTGATTTGACTATGCGCCAGAAATAACTTGGGTTTTGTATGCCAGGAGGCCCAAATATGTACGTAGTTACAGTACTACTGTTGCAGCGAAGGAATTGCTGCTTTGTGGGCAAAGTGTCATGGGTAAAAGAGCGTCCCTTGGAAGTTGCACTTGGGTTTGCCGGTGGATTAACAAGACCTATTCAAACCTCTCTCTCCATGTGCAATAATGCGACGACGCTGTACATGCATTTCAAATCCTTGTTCACTCCATAGCATGGAGTGACTGTACTAGTATAAATTTTGGATGGCGGCAGGTTGATACTAGTACTGCAGTACGTAACCCGTACTAGTACGTACTGTACAATGTTCACAGTCAGTACTGTACTATTCTGTACGTAGTACTATTAATAGTACTAGTATATACTCCGTAGTAGTAAGTAGTACACAATACTACAGTATTATAGTACTGTCTGAATTTCACCTTTTACTCGGACTATTTTACTTAGATTGGAATTACATACCGGTAGCGTATGCGATGCCAACGCATGCCACAATTTTCATACTTCGAGGCACATGCTTCACTGCTTTAAGCCTGACGTTAGGAATACTAGTACTAAACGTTAACTGTTAGCGTATGACATGTTGTATGCACCGCTACGTTGCGTAGAATTTGACAAGATAGCGAGTCCCACGGTTTGAATGACGGAATTGTCCTACTGTACCATTGTAGCTTCAACGTGTACTTTGCAACACCAAACCTCCAAAACCTCTACATCACGAGCTCATCTTGCCATCTTTCAGGTCGATGGCATCGGACCGATTTTGCTTCAGTATGATCGAAACTGTTCCACGCGACCTTTGATTGGTTTATTCAAGGGGCACGGACCGCCAATCAAACGTTGAGTTTCAACCGTGCGAAAGGTCGCGATCCAACGAAAACCATCGCCGCATGGAGTATGCGTCGCTAACCGACCACGACGACACTAGCCACAAGTGCAATGTCCTCTTCGCCGTGCTTGGGTTTGCGTATTTATTTCCATTCTGGGCACTCGTCCAACCCGTCGACTATTGGCACGAGCTGTTTCCGACATTCAACGTCGAGTTCAACATTTCGTTGGCGTACACCGTCACCAGTGTCGCGACGCTGGCGTGGGTCGTGTTTATCAGCGGCGTTCGCGGCCACAACCTTCGCATTGTCGGGGGATTGCTGACGCAAGTGGTAGTGCTGGCTGTCCTACCCTTGGCGTCCTTGCTGCAATCCCCCACAGCCCGCCACGTCATGGTGCTCACGTCGACAGCTGCGATCGCCGTGGCCACAGCCGTTCTCGACAGTTCGGTGTTTGGGCTAGCCGCTTTGTTTCCCAAAGGAGCGATCGAGTACGTCCAGTTCGGCATGGGCGTCTCGGGCCTCGTCACCGTCGTTTTCCGAGTCGTGTCGAAAGCCTGCTTCCCCCCAACCATGCTCACGGTGGCGACTACCGCCTACTTTCTCGCCGGTGCCGTCGCCGTCGGGTCTGCCGTCGTAGCGTATTTCGTACTAATCAACTTACCGCGCACTCAACATTATCTCCGCGCAGCCAGCACCCAACACGTGGACTGGTCGTTACTGAGCAAGGTCTGGAGAAACGAAGCCCTGGTCGTGGTCAACTACGCCACCACACTCGCCGTCTACCCCGGTATTGTGTCTGGCCTCTATAGCATCCAATACCCGTCACTCAACGCCAACGAATGGTGGCCCTTGATTCTACTCACGCTGTACGCGGCCTTTGAAGTCGTCGGGCGGTATGGGGCAGCGTGGAGCCACTGTGGCGTCACCCCCGACACAGTGTGGCGCCCCGTGGTGGCGCGACTGGCGCTGATTCCGGCTCTGGTGTGCACCGCCCAACATGTGTGGCATGACGTTATCTCGGTGGCGCTGGTCACTACCCTCGCCCTCTCCAACGGCTACGTCGGCACGTTGGCCGTGGTGGTGGTCAACGACTGCGTCGACAAACCCGAACGCGCCGCCGCTGGCATGATCTCCAGCCTCTGCATCAACATAGGGCTTATTGTGGGGGCGGCAATTGCCTTTTGCCTGGCCTTGCTCTTTCACCTGTGACCCCCCCCCCTCCGTCAGTACTTTGTACTACGAAGTACTACGTAGTACCTGGTACTACAATAGTAACAATCATACTACTACGAAGTAGTAATACATACTTAACGTTGTACGAGGCTAGCAGGAAAAGCAACCAATGAATGCTACTGGCGTACTATTAATAGAACATATCATTGTACAGCCAATGTACTGTACGTCGAAACCACATACAGTCACTGTACTGTATCTCAGCTAAGGTAAAACCCAAATCATGTTTGTTTATTTCGTTATCACGTGGGGCCACGCGTCCAGTATCACGGCACCTACTTACTCGTCGGCCACGAGGTCGTCAATCACTTGTTGCATTTGCAGGACCGCAGGCTGCTGCTGGTGGGTGGCCACTTTGCACACTGCGATACGGTGGCACACGTCCAGCGCCGTGGACCCACCTTCCAACCACTTGGCCAAGTCTTCAAAGTGTTCATTCACGTCATCACAGTGCACCGACGGCGGCAGGATCGAGCACATGGCGCCAATGGCTTCGCGCACCAACGGCAGCTGGTGCTTGTCCATCTTGATCACCGTCCCAATCGACTCGGACGCGTACTGGCAAAACAGACACCCTTCGTCCGAGCCCACATCTGCGACGTGGTTCACCAGCGACGCCACCTGGGCTTCCAAGTCCAACGTCGCCAGCTTGCCGAGCGCACACAAGTGCGTCTTGAAGCATGCTTCCGACGGGTCTGTACCGCCTTCCACCAACGCCGCCAGTGCGTCAAACTTGCCCACCACCGTGTTGCACTAGATCCACACACATATATTTAAAACCACCAGGTTCTAAACCGATGCAACCCCAGACGAGGTAGGTATTGTCAAGATATTCGAAGTCGGAGTGGGGGGGGTGGTCAATCGAATGACCAGCAAACCAAATCGGCAGACAATCGATAAACGACCAATCAAAACCCAGATATCACAAATCAAGTAGCCAATCAAATTCACTCAGTCTTGGACCAATGCAACATCGAATTAGTGCGTGCGACTTCATTTAGTGTGACACTGGACGATTTTCACATACAAAAGTCAAAGAATCGATCAAGTAGCCAATCAAATTCACTCACTCTTGGACCAATGCAACATCGAATTAGTGTGTGCGACTTCATTTAGTGTGACACTGGACGATTTGTACATACAAAAGTCAAAGAATCGATCGATAGATTTGGCAAACAATTAGCACAAAAGTCGACCAAACTTTGGGTAAAAGGGCAATACATACCTGCGCTTGCAGCTGCTGCACTTGCGAGCACAGCGCTTGGAGGCCCGTCTTGAGCAGCGGCACCACGTCCTTGTCGTAGTTGGTCACGACTTTGATCAGCTGCGACACGTCTTCGCACAGCAAACACGTTAAAATGTCATTTGGGCGGCGGGTGGTAGCTTCCTCCCTGGCGTGCAATTTGACGGCAAAGTCGCCCAGCTGGCTCTGCACAAACCCGTTTGACGTCGTCGCAATCTGCTTGGTCGGGGGGCCACACAAGTGCACCTTGGCACACGCGTCGGGCGCCGCCACGCCGTCTTCAATCAGTTTCGCGAGCGGATCAAACTGGGCTACCACCGCCTCGCACTGCGCTTCCATGGGCAGCCGCGAGCACAACGTGTCAATACCTTGCTTCACAAACGGCACCACGCTCTTGTCGTACGCCACCACTTTGGCAATTACCAGCCCCGTGTACTCGCAAAACACGCAGCTCAGCACGTCCGAGCTCTCGTGGCTCGGCGTGTGCGTCAGCCAGCTCTGGACCTGCGATTCCAAGCCGTTCACGTCCTTCAAATGTCCCAGTGGGCCAGGCCCAGTTTTGGTCGCTTCGCACAGTTTGGCCACGTGGCACGCTTCCACAAAGTCCTTGCCGTTCTCGACCAACTCGACCAAATGGTCAAATTCAGGCATCACGTGAATGCACTACATACACCCACCCCCCATTGAAACCACTTGCTCAATGTATACACATCATGCCAGATGGATAGTGCATGATATATATATATATATATATACATTGCCCTACCTGTGGGGTTTGGAATCGATCACAGAGCACGCCAAGGCCAAGCTTGAATGCCATCAGGTACTGCTTGTTCACTTTTTCAATCGACATGATCGTGGCCGTGACCGCCTCGCACATTTCACACGTCACGTCGTCTCCTTTAGTCCACGTGGACACTGTCGACTCTATCTTGTGCAGTGCTTGCTCCACCACCGTCTCAGATGAAGCAGCCACCTTGTCGCACAGCTGCACATGCACACACGCGTCCAACGGCGACGAGCCGACTTCAATCAGCTGGGCCAGTTGATCAAATGCCCCCAGCACCTTTGCGCATTTGGCTTCCGCGGGCAGGCGCGTACACAACGTTTCCATGCCAATCTTGAGCAACGGCATCGCATCTTTCGAGTACTTGGCCACTTGAGCAATGACCTCTCCCGTCGACTGGCACATCACACAGCCCAATATGTCGGCATGCCCAGACTGGGCCACCATCATCGCCTTGTCGTTCACTCGCGCTTCCAGTTGCTTCAAGGCCTCGTCCACAAGATGGCTACTGCTACTACTGCTCTCGGCAGGTTCCACTTCTGGGATGCAGAATCCGAGCTCGATGCACGCCGGTTTGGCCTGGTCGCCCTTGTTCAAGAGCGCGTCCAACTCGTCAAACTTGGCGGCAATGTCTCGGCACTATGTAATCAGTGAGGATAACGTGGCTCACCAAAAGAATGATATAGACCATTCCAACGTTGTTCAATGTCGTCGTCTCATTCCAACGGTGGACTGACAACCTACCTTGGTGCAAGGTGGTAAAAAGCGGCACAATGTGGAAATAGCCTTCTTCAACTTGGGCAACGACGCCTTGTGCGATTTCTCCACGCGCTGGATCGCATACGCCACATGTTCGCAGGTCGAACAGCCCACATAATGCGCCACGTCATAAGTAGGCGAGCCCAGTTGCTCGACAAGTTGGTCCAGAATGGCCAGGAAATGGGCGGGTTTCGCCTCGGCCGACGGCGGGCGGCCCACCACTAACGCTCCCTTCTCGACCGGCGCGCACATCCGCACGGCCTCGCAGCCATCCTTCGGGGTCTTGCCCTGGCCCATCAGGTCGGCCAATTCGTCAAAGTGTTGGTCCATCGCCGAGCACTACGAATATGATGATCATCACATGTGATTGGTTCCATAAACATAAAGGGCAATGTGGCTCACCTGGGCTTGAGGTGGCAGGTTGGAACAGAGACCGTCGAGGCCTTCCTTGACCACTGGCAGCGTGTCGGCACCCCCTTGGTGCAGCGCCGACGTCACAACTTGGCCGACAAATTCGCAATAAACGCAGCCCAGGAACGTCGGCGCGGCGGCCGCGATCGCTGTCTCGGACACACATGCGCGGACCTTTTGGCAGGTTGTGAGGACATCGTCGCCTTGCTTCAATTGCTTGGCCAACGAGGCGAAATGACTCGACATGAATTGACACTACAACACACACATGAGCGAACAAGAATCTGGATGGATGTACAGTACCGCTTTCGACTCGGCAGCGTGCGCGCACACCGCGTCCAACCCGTCCTTGTACAACTTGAGGCCATGGGGCATGCCGATCAACGAGTGCATGGCGTTCGTGTTGTCCCGGCAGATCGCACAAAGCTCGTCGCGCTCGGGAGACGCGCGAAGATGCGACGATGGCGTGGAGGTAATGGCCGCAGCCGTCAGACGCGGCAATGTCTGCTTGCACATGGAGATTTTTTGGCAAATGTGCTTGGGGCTCAAGCCTTCCTTGAGCCACTTGACAATGTCGTTCAGACGAGTCAAGATAACGTTGCACTTCGACGACGATGGAAGGTACTCGCACAACAGCTTGAGGGCTTCCTCGACCACCTCAAGCGCTAATTCTTGCTTGTCAAAGGTGTTTTCAATCATGGCCACCGAGCGTTCGCACAGCTCGCACGAGTTAAACGGCGCCGTGTCGTCAGCAGCTTCTACCCAGAATTGGCGCCAGCCGCACACAAGCGGAGGCGACGTGATTCCGTGCGCCAGCATGTCCTCGATCGAGGGCGAACTTTGGATCGCCATGCACTCTTCCTCCTCGACTTGGGAGAACATAAGCTGGCCGCGGCACGCGCGGTGCGCCGGGAAGAGGCTTTCAAAAATCTTGTCAAACATGTCCTCGTCCTTGCGTGGCTTGGTGAGCGACGTCACCGCGACCTCACACGGATCGGGCTTAGTCAGGACTACGCTCATCACACTCGGCATGTCCGGGAAGGTCTGCTTCATCACGTCGCCAATCCAATCTTCACTAAGGGCATCCACTGGACTCACCAGTGAAGCCACTGCAGCGACGACCGCCATGCCTTGCACATAGAGCTTCATCGTCTCCTCGTGCACTTGCTGGGTTGCACGACGGAAAAGATATGCTGGGACTGAGCAGCAACGAAGAATCCGGTCCAATTAAGTGCGAGTCAAGTATCTTGATGTTGGTATGGCGAAGCGCACTTTTTATAAACAGGTGTTGGACATGTATTTGTATTCCCTCCATAGAATGCCAATATGCTTCGACAATCACTCTTGTTATCCTTGAATTAGTAGACACATCATTGACAGTCCCCACAATTAATGACCTCATCAACCCTGGATACATAACCAAAAGTCCTTCCATGAATCAATTCAAAGCTCATCGACTTCGTATCTTCTGCGGGTGGCCGCCGCTGGCCTCAGCTAGCCGCGAGGGTGCCAGATCCACCCAGCACACATGCAACATTTCCGCGCCTATGCAGGCATCCTATGGCTTCGTTCACGCTGCACTCGCCGTAGACTACAGCTCGCGCTTAAGACGGCATGTCGAAACTGTCCTACGCCTGGTCGGTCATGCGTCCAGTAGAGGCTGACCAATAGCCGCTTATCCAAGCACATGCATGAGGCTCTTCTCCGTGCCTGTGTCCGCCCCATATATTCGAGTAGGAATGCCGTCGCCGCTCGTATAGCACTCGTTGACCTGTATCGCGTGGACGGTTTTTGTTCATGGGTCATTGTGTAACGCTTGGAGGTATTATTGGAACCGACAGTGTAACTTGACACCGCGAAAAACGGCCCTCGCTATACCCCTCCAGCCATGCAGCACGGCGGGCGAGGCGCTTTGGACGACGACTCCGCATCTCGGATGAGCGAGTCATCGTCACCGCCGCCATCAGTATCATCGTCCAGTAGGGAGACCAGAACAGCCGACACCACGTACCACCCGCCAATCTCAATCGATCCACATGATGATGCCGAGGCAGGGTCTCCTACCGACGACGACATGAACCGTTGCGATGGAGACGAGGGGGGGCTGGTGCTTAAGTCATGCTTGCAGGAAAAGGGAACTAGAACTGGAGGTTTCTTTCACCGACTCGTGGGCGGCAAGCAGCATAAGTACCAGGTCGGCAACGCAGCTATCGTCGGCAACCTGAACTCGATACCTGTCGACACCTCCACAAAGGAGGAGGCCCGACCGCCGCTGACGCGCGTGACATCCGATGTCTTGGAAGACATTCCGCTGCATGAAGATCACGGGGGGGCGTCCGCCACAATACCACCGACAAGGTCGTCGCACATCGACCACACGAGCCCCCACTCGTCGTTTATCGCCCCAGAAGTGGTCATCCACGACTCCCCGTCCAAGCCTTCAACCACCGCCACCATAGGTGACAATCCACACATAACTAAGGCCAGCTACCGGCATCCCATCCTACACAAACAACAACCCTCATCATCCCCCTCCTCCGTTGGGGATCCAACCACCCATCCGACTACTGGGGGTGGTAGTTCACACAAAGAAGAGCCGCAGCCATTGCTGGTGCTCCTCACCATTGTCAGTGCATCGGGCTTATTGAAAGTCCACAAGTTTGGCGTGCAAGCCCCGTACCTAGAGATGAAGGTCAGCTCCGACGACTCGTCGCCGTTCCGGACGGTCGAGTGCAAGAAGGGCGGCACCGAAGCCGTGTGGAACCAGACGTTTACGAGACGTCTCCAGTCCCTCGACGACTCGTTGTACGTGGCCGCGAAAGCCAGCACTACCGTGATCGGGGAGCTCGTCGTGTCGTTCCGAACGCTAGACCTGTCGCCTTCGCTGACCAACCACACGCTACAGCTGACACGGGGCAAGGCGGCCGAGCCCGTGGGGCACATTTGCATGCAATGTCGCATTTTGGACTCGACAGCCTCGACACCAACGACCTCCCCGACACCCGCCCCCGTCGCGCCGCTGCCCCAGCAGCAATCCGTGGCCCTCCCGATGCCGTCGTGCGTGGACAAGCCGGTCGAGCCCAAGGTCTCCGTCGCCAAAGTCAAGTATAACGACGTCGGGTCCGACACTGGGCTATGGGACGCGGCCATTCGACACGGCGCGTTGATGTTTAAGATTCCGTACCACGAAAGCAGCGGGGCCGCGCCCAAGCGCAAGTGGGTAGCCCTTCAGGACCTGCCGAAGAAGGGGCTGTGCATCACATGGACGGACCCGCAGCACTCGGTCGAGTCGACGTCAAGCCAGCACTTGCTCCCTCTGCACGACGTCGTGGAGGTCAAGACCGGGATCAAAACCCTAGCGTTCCGCAAACAACACGCCGCCCAAGGCAAAGCCAACACGTTTTTCCACGAAGATGTATGTTTTTCGCTGATTTCAGCGTCGCGGTCGTTGGATCTGGCGGCCGCGAGCAAGGAGGAGGCGACGCTGTGGGTCGCGTCGCTGCGCCGAATGCTCCAGCACCAAACCACGACGCCAACGTCGACATCGTGTTCGATCGTCGGCGGCGGGGGACGACTTCGCACGTCGGCCAAGATCATGCAAGACTTCAAAACGTCCGCGACAAGGGACAAATCCACCCACGCCATGTGGATGCAAGACCTGTTCCGATACGCCAAGGGCCAGCAATTATCCGAGATTGCGCACTTTCTCATGGACGGGTGCCCCGTGGACCTTCTGGAGCCACAGACAGGCGACACGATCCTCTTTCTCGCGTGCCGCGCCGGCCATGTGGCCCTCCTCGAACTGTGTCTCAAGTGGGGAGCCAAGAACGACCCGCACCCGACGTTCGGCGACACGGCGCTCCAGATCGCCGTCAAGGCGTCCCAGCCCGAGTGTGTTAGGCAGCTGCTGTCCATCGCCGCCAAGAGCGACATGGACACGGAAATCGTCAACCACGTCGACCACGCCAACCAGGCGCCGCTCCACGTGGCAGCCTCCCAGGGAGATGTCGTGTGTCTGCAGCTGCTGCTCCACCACGGCGCCGACATCTGTGTCGTGCAGGCCAACGGGCACACACCGCTGCACTGCGCCGTCTTGGGGGGCCACGAAAGTTGCGTGGCGTATATTTTAGATGTGGGGGGCGATGCCATCATCAACACGGGGGACTGCCACGGCAACACGCCGCTGCACTGCGCGGTTACGTTGGGCCACGAAGGGCTGGTCAAGTTGCTCCTCGAGAGCGCGGCCGACGTCACGTTGCTCAACAACGAGCACCTGACGCCGTACAAGCTGGCTAGACGAAACCCCAAGAGCCGGGCAATTCAAGCACTGCTGGCGATTTACGAGCCCGAACCCCCGCCAACCCCGAGCAAAGAACAGCCCCGCAATCTGTGGCAGTCGACGCCGCACTCGCAGTCGGCCCGCCTGCAAGTTCGAGATGCGATCATAAAACAAAAGTCCCAAATGTTATCGTCCCCTGCCAAGTCACTGAGCGCCCGGTCTGCGTCGGAAGGAGAGTTTGACGGGTACACCAGCAGCAGCTCGGCCACATCCTGCTCGGTGGGTACCCTCAGCAGCAGTAGTATCAGCACTTCTGGGCCGTCGTCGTTTTGTTTTCAAGACTATCGCCACCAACCAGCAGCATCGCAGTATTACCACCATTCACATAACACACAGCCTCACCACCTATCCACACACCATCAAGTACCCACCACGGCGCAACCCCAACTACATCAGCACCACCACGTCGGCGTTCCCCCATCCCAGCAATACCCTGCTTATGCCGCTTACGACTGGAGCCATGACTGGGAAGTCAAGTACACCAGCGAAGGCCACGCGTATTATGTCGACTTGTACACTGGGGTATCTCAGTGGGACGCCCCGCCCGCTCTGCAAGGCTACGACCCGTACATCTCACATACACCCTACGACCAACAACTCCCAGCCGTTCCTGCTGCTTATGACTCTACGAGTCAATACATCCGACCCCAGGTGGAGACTGAAGCAGTCTTCCACCACCACAACAATACCATCGGCAGCAGCCACGTCGTACCGCCGCCGCCAGCTGTGTACACCAGCACCCCCACCCTCCCCGTCTATCCCCCGTTAGCTACATCCTCGGCGACTTCGTCCCCGTCTGCGTCCCCTCGTTCTAAAACCAGCTTTTCTGAGCGGCGTAAACTCGAAGGGTTGTCCATCGAACCGCTCAAAGTCGTGACGACCCTGCCCGATCAAGGTACTAGTTGCGATGGCTGGTTATGCGGGATATTAACACTATTGGATGTGTGTAGGACTGAATTTAAAGCTGGATAAGGTCAACGACGACGGCGACATGTTTCAAAAGGTAGTAATCCGTAGATATATTCATCTGAATGGGGGGGGGTCCTATTGTGGGGGTTGTATTGCTTGCTATATATAGTCTCGGTCGCGATCTCCCAAGGGCAAATCCAAAACTGTCAAGGTGTTGGACATCAAGCGCGCCAACAATATTGTCATGACGTTGTCAGATTTTGAGTTTCACACTCAGTTTAATACAATCACACAGGCCATTGTCGACATGGTAGGTGATACATCCATCCTTATTCTTGCCAACTTTGTGGAAATATGCCAGGTAGGATAGTGTTCATGTGTATATATTCTAGGACGACCAAGCCCTCACGTTGGAAAAGGTGCGATGTCTCAAGGGCCTATTCCCCACCGGTACGCTGTAAACACTGTCCAAATGTACGCAGCACGCTCATGCGAGTATTTGTAAACTCCATCAGACGACGAAAAGGACAGCTTGCTCGCGCGACAAGCAGACAAAGGAGAGTTTGGCAAGGCGGAAAAGTTCATGATGGTACGATCAGCCCTGACAGTGGTTGTTTACCTGGCATGTGTATGTACGTATCGATGCATTTGCTGTAGGCATGCTTGGATGTCGACGACATCAACATTCGCGCCGACTGCTTTCTGTTCAAGTTAAAGGTACTACGCGATCTTACAACTCCATAGTACTCGATACATTATGTTTAGCAGACACGGGAACAATAACACATGCTGTAGTTTGCGAAAACGATGTCGCAGCTGCAAACCCGCGTGCAGTTGGTCATCACGATCTGCCAAGTCATTTTAGACACCCCCGGGTTGTGCCGGTTGCTTCACCAGGTCTCACTCAGCCTTGTTGCCCTTTACAACAAAGCACTGAAAGATTCACACCCTTGCTTGTAGATGCTAGACGACAAGAAGCAAAAGGTCATATGGGAAGACGACAAATACACCCAGCTGCTCGACGCGGGCCAAATGTCGGGCGACATCCCCCTTGGCCAACTCAACAAGCTCCGACGCATCGAGTCTGTGCCAGACATTTCGTGTCTGCTGCGGTCAGAACTGCAGGACGTGCTGGACTCGCTCATCAACGGCTGCCGCGCGTGCCAGAATTTGCTCTCGCAAGTGAAATGCAACCGACTCAAAGCCGCCGAAGCTCTCCCCTCTGGTTCCACTCGTACGCTCATGGGAATTCCAGCAGCGGCCGAGTTTGAACGGTTCATCAAGGCCAGCGTTGGGGACATCAACGATGCCACTGACGAGTTCCGGCAAGCCAAAGCCTGGGAGAACAAACTAGTGTCGGAATTTGGCGTCGTGCTCGAAGACTTCAGTCCGCTCGAGATTTTGTGTGCCGTCAAGCAACTACTCTTAGCAGCATGATAGTCGAGTAGCGTTACGTCCGATAATATAGGAATAGAACATAACAGGACGACGATCCCCCCCGCCGTGCGTGGTAGCGTTGGATGGGGGGTCTAGTCGATACAGCGTTGAGGTCGAGAAGCGATATTGTATATGTGTTCGTGATGGTAGTTAGTTGGACGGAATGCATGGCCAATCCGCGTACATCGTCACCGTATGCAATGCTACTTGTGAAAGTGGCCACCGCAGCAGCACCGTCAAGGTTAAACGCTCGTGCAACTAATCCCAAATCTACTAGCTGCTGGTACGACCAACGGACGTTATTGCGCATATTGAATAAAGGTATGGGTAGTGTTAGAGCCACCAGTGTATAAATATCCTATATGCGTACTAGGGTACAGTATGCGTGTTTTGTTTCAGAGTGAATTCCATGCATATGTGCATACATCAAGCGGGGTAAGGTCGTATATGTTTCTATATTGTCATCGCGATGCTGGAGGATGCTATCAGTGATGATACAGGTTGGCTAAATGGCACCGTCAGATGTCGTGTATCGCAGTCGCGACGTCGGAGATCCTTCTTCTTCGCCATACTCGCCACTTTCGTCCGCCATGCCGCCTTCGGGGTACTCTCGGATGTTTTGCGCATATTTTTCATGCAGTCTGGCCTCTTCTTCCCACTGGACGTGGTCGTACGTGGGCTGTCTGGTTTGGATGCGGCGCAAGATCGACTGCGTTGGCCAGCAAATGTGAGACAGATAATAAAGCGATGGGATATACCTGGTTTTCGGCTGTGATGCGCTGGAGCTCTCGCTTGCGTTGCTCCTTGTTCAAGCTGTGGCCGTGCTTGAGCGCGTCGTTCTTGTTGTCGAGTGTGTCGTGCTGCATGATGAAGCTCATCTTTTCCAATAGAATGCGGTTCTCACGCTCGATCGTGGCGTACCGCTCTTCCTTCATTTGCTCCTTCTTGAGATTCTTGCGAAGGTGCGCCGGCCGCGTCGGCTCGCTGTTGTCGATCGTGCTCTTGATCGTGTTGAGTTTCTGCTTGTGGATCAACTGGCACCGATTGTAGAACTTGGAGTCCGTGTGTTTGTTGAGTGTTGGCAACGCTTTGCGGCCTCGGTCCATGCTGACAGCGGAGGCGAAGGCAAAGTGGTGGCCATCGCAGCTACGACCTACCTAAAAATACCATTCGAGCCATCTTGCCAAACGGCACGCACGCTGATTGGTTCGATTCAGCATCCGGATAACAGTCCGAATAATCCGCATCGGATCTCGAAAGGACGCAAAGGCCGAAAAAAGTCCCAGAACAAAAAGTGGCATGGCGTCGATCTACGAAGGCGCGTTCGACACCGCGGCGCTTCAAAAGGAACTGGTCATTGCTCTTGAAGAGGACCGCAAGTACAAGCTGACCGACGACATGAAGAAGCGCGCGATCCACACCGCGGCTAGCTACGACGACTTTCGCGTACGACGTTACCCACGACAATACCACACGGCTCTCCATCACTTGATGTCATTTACGGATCTAGAACTTTGTGCTGTGCGCCGATTTGAAACCAGTGTCGTCGAAAGAGTTGCAAAACTTGTCGAAAAGCGAACGCAAGCGCAATCGCGGGTACCAAACCAAGTCGTTGCTGCACGTCGACACGAGCAAAGCCAAGACGCTGGTGGGAAAGCAGGACGCCGCCGTACCACCCGCGACGTCTGTCGAGTTTATTCGAACATGGCGCCGCAGTTGCTTGACGCAGCGCGATAAATACAAGTGCGACAACAAGATGGCGATTATCCTATCGCGCGAAATTGCTGACCAAACATGTGTATGTAAATGTTAGGTACTTGCAAGTGACCACGCCGCCGCGAGTGGCAAAACTGTTTCAAGCCGAGCTCGACTCGGACTTGATGCTTCAAATCGTGGCATGTTTGAGTGCGCAATTTGTGAATTTGAACCCCAACAACGACGTCGACGACTACCAACTCGAGCTCGCCCACGCCTGGTTTACCCTGTCGCTGCTGGAAGCGGTGACCAAAACTGGTCGCTTTTTGTTAACGATGTCCTTCCTGACTGCGGACCAAGCGGCCTCTGTGATCCACCTCGTGGCGCGTGTGCACGAAGTGCTGGGCGTACACGACGACGACGACACCAATGGCGATGTGACGGCGAGGCTCGACGCATTGCACCGGCAATTTGCACGCTAACCATAATAATTGCGTGTAATGTAGATGGCCAGTTTATTTGGCACGGGACAGTTTAAGGTGTACTCAAATTGGCCAATGGAATTGCTTGATTTTGGAGTAGCCAATCGAATCACTAGAAAAATGAAATCACTAAAAAATAAGCAAAAACAGCATACATATTTTAAGCTTAAACCGTCCCTCCTATTTTGCCTTGACTTAGTGGAAATCGAAGTAAATGAACGCTAAGCTGAAGTCTATTTAAGCCAATTAAATAATCAGAAGAATGCCCAACCTTTCGGCTTCACGCAGCACTTTTCCCGGTCCTGGGAGACGAGTAAGCTGCATTCTACGACGAAGTCTCTTTCAAGTGCACCATAATACACTGGCCATCTACGTTAGTATATATACTATATATACTTTGAAAGTAGTACTACGCAACTAGCCACCGTCAAACACGTTTCTATATACTGTATATATATATATCTATTTCATGGTACAGTATACATTTTTTCAGATCATGGGATACTAAGTTTGCTAGGGAAAGAAATAATCCACCGCCGACTTGGTGCAGTACAACCCGAGCGTGATGAGCACCACGCCCATACACCGCAAGATGGCTCCGATGGTTTGATTTTTCAACCGCTACCAAATATCCCGTCATTCACAAAAATTAAATATATTACTATTCCAGAGTTTGAGCGATATATAATAAATATATATACTAGTATACTAGTTCTTGTACCTGTTTGTATGTCTTGAGCAAGGTCAAGAGCACGTAAAACCAAGTGGAAATACCACATGCTACGCCGATGCTGAATAAGACGGCCAAACCGAGCGTAAACTGCAAATACCCCGTGTGGTACACTACAGAATTAATACATTGTCAAGTCGATATATTCGAAATTGGAGTGAGTAGTGGGGTGCTCAATCGAATGAGCAAAGAACCAAATCGACAGACAATCAAAGATCGACCAATCAAAACACACAACACACGAATCAAGTAGCCAATCAGCACAATATAATCGATCGATAGATTTGGCAAAGAATCAGCACAAAAGTCCACCACATTTTAAAAGCAAGACAATACTAGTCAACAAACTCGAAATGGAGGGCGGGGTACCACTGGCCAGTGCCCCGGTGTACGTGGCAAGCAAGGCCGGGTTGAAGCCAGACATGGTGAACCCGAGCAGCAAGTGCTTTACGAAGATTGCACGCGCTGTGCTAGCTCCAAATGGACGCTTGGAGGGCGAGTTGGTGTCCGATTCGATCTGCGGTTGAACTTCGAGTCGAAGGAACACGACCCCAACTACGAGCAACATGCATGCGCCAAGAATCCTATCCATTCTCATGACGACAACCAACAAGGAGGAGGTGACGCCGTACTTGGACACAGGTAAGAGCCACCCGACGCCTACAAGGAAGCTACCAAATCCCCAGTACGCCACACCAGCATACGTCTACAAGTTTACATACCAAAGAAAACGTGAGAGTCGCTAGCAACTTCTAGAGAAACTTGCGGCAGCATCGGTAGATATAGCATCGTACCGCTTCGGCGACAGCACCCCCAAGTGCCACCGTTTGCGCGTCCCAGTATTGACCTTGAATTCCCATCTTCAACACCATGGCGGACGTAGGACCAGCGATGGGAATGGAGCCCACGAATCCAAAACAGAAACCGGCTACAATAGGCAACACGTACGACAACAACCACAGGTCTGGGCCCGTCGTCGGATTAGGGACGGGTGCAGCACTGGTGACGGCGACCCCAGGAATGACTGGGGACGATGGTGATGCTACTAGCAATTCTGGCGTTGGTACGATCTGCGTCGTGATGGCAATAGCACCCGACGGCGCGGCGGATACAGGTTGCAACGGAGGTGGTGTGGGCACCACAATATCGTCGAGGACCAAGTACATTGAATACATTCCCACAATAAGAAGGCACACGATGATGGAAGCCATAGCGGCTAAGATGGTCACGTTGCGGTGTCGTCTCTTCACTGTGATGTAGTTCATGCCTTTCTTGTACAGAGGCAGCATTGTGGTGGACCCCGCTTCGGCGGCAGTTAACACTCGATTTTTCCTGGAGGTTGTCGATTCCCTCGTACCCATTGGTTGGATTTTGACCAATCCACGGATTTCATAAAACCATTTAATGGATAAATATTGCTATCATTTATTTAAAACAAAAAAACGTAACAGCTATATTGCAAAGAAAATGTTACTACGTAGTACTCCGGAGTACGGTAGTACGGAGTACTACTTGACTTTCAGAACTCCCGCTCATATTATTATAAATTTTGGCCTGAGTGCAGAACTATTTTTTATTTAAATTTCGCAGTTCTAAGTAAGGTCGCCGCAGCGCGGGCATTAACGGCTTGATGTGCTGCTACGGCAAGAGGATGAGCCTGGCATACAGGTAAAGTGAATGGCAATCGCTACCTCATGTGTCCGGTGTCGTATCGTTGGACCAGGACGGCTGTGCGCAACTGTCGCCTGCCCAAAAGTCTGCAAAAGGTGAAATAAGTTCGAGTGGTTTTACTGTTTGACTCGATTTACTTTTGACCAATGGAATTGCTTTCCCTCCTTTGGAATAATAATATTTCTCGATGGACGATCTTGAGAAATATCGGACAGGGATGGACGATCCTGAGAAATACCCTTCTAAGTATATTAATTTTTCAGAATGTATGACAGGAGCGAAATTTGAAACAATTACATATCATTGATGGTTGAGATTATCCGGATATCGAATCTTGAATATCATCACCACACAAGAAAATGCCAAGTGGCACAGCCACAGCCGCGGCGCCGGCTACATCCAGCAATGCTACAGGCCAGCGCTTGATATTCCTGTTCACATATGCTGCGTACATTGCGGTGTACTTCACCCGCAAGCCATTTTCAGTAGCCAAGTCCACTTTGATGGCGGAAAACGTGCACACGGAGAGCGAGCTCGGACTCATCGACACGGCGTTTCTCGTGTCGTACGCAGTGGGTCAGTTCGCGTCCGGCCCCGTTGCGTCCTTTCTTGGGTCGAACCTTGGTCTTGCGTTGGCGTTCTTGGGTACTGGCGTGTGCTCGTGGGTGTTTGGGTCGAGTCCTTCCAAGGACATGCGGTCGGTCGCTTGGCTGGCCAATGGCCTCTTTCAAGCGTTCTTCTTTCCGTTCATCATGGACGTGTTGCGCGCTTGGTTTCCTCCATCTAGTCGCGGTCAAGTCTTGGGTTTGTGGACAACGTGCCAGCAACTGGGCGGGTTTGCGACCAGTGCTTTTGGTGCGTACATCCTGGGCACCTCCACGTGGCACAACGTCTTTGTCTTGCCCGCATTCGTGTCGTTTTTGTTTGCATTTATGTGCCTGTTCGTGCTCCAAACGTCCCCTTCGTCTGCTGTGGCACCATCCTTAGCTAACAACCTCCCAACCTCTAGCCAGCCCTGGTCTGTACCCCACTTGACCAACGTCGGCAGTGCGTACTTTTGCGTCAAGCTCGTTCGGTACACGTTTCTAGGTTGGCTTCCATTCTACCTGACGGCCATGCTCGGCTACTCCGCCGCAGAAAGTGTCCTTCTCTCCACCGCCTTTGACCTGGCGGGCACCGTTGGCAGCGTCGTGTGCGGCTATGCCTCGGACGCATGGTGTGGCGGCTACAGTGCGCGCATCGTAGCTCCCATGTGCGTTCTCTGTGGGGTCACCACCGTCCTGTATCCACACGTTGCTGCTAGCGGTCAGATCGCCAACATTGCGATCATGGCAGCCGTGGGGCTGTTTGTAGCTGGACCAGACTCCATGTTAGGAGGGGCTGCCTGCGCGGAGATTTGCGAACGAGCACACGCCCCGTCTGCGTCGACGGGTGCCACGGGCATCGTCAACGGCATGGGGTCGTTGGGGGCTATCGCGTCTGGCATGCTCCCCATCCTTGTGAAAGAATCGTACGGGTGGAACGTGTTGTTTTACACTATGGGGGGGCTTAGTGTCATGGGGGGGCTGCTGCTGCTGCCTCTGGCTAGAGACACAACCCACAAAAAAGTCGACTAGATTCTATAAGCTGGTTGATCATGTGAATCCACCATTGTCAACGCAATCCAAAGAGTTCTAATTGCAATTTTGGGCACTCAATTACAGTAAAGTAGTGCATCGAAGCTGTGTGTCAAATCGACTTTCATTTACTACAGTGCAGTATGTGATGGTATGGTCGTTCAAAATAGTTTCAATGGGGGACGTTTTTTGCAGCTAATGAGATAATATGACATCACTAACGAAGTTCAAGGGAGTGGTATCTTAAAGCGTTTCGAGCGTGACCCTTGGGCCTCCACACGACAACCCCAAGTTTCATTCGCGTAGTGTCACAGGCATGCTGCGCGTAGCTGTACTTGCTAGCTCAAGCTTCGGGCTCGCATTGGCGGGATACCGTCCATGGGATGTCGCGGGTGTGATGGATCCAGTGTTGATCGCGCGCATTGAAGGTTACATGCCACCGATTTGCTCGTCGCTGTATGGCGACAGCGAGCACTGGACGGACTGGAGCATTTGTTCGGCGAAATGCGGCGCCGGTCAACAAGTGCGCTATCTCAGCAATGCTGGCGTTCAAAACCTACAATCCAACGGATGTGAGATTTCTATCGACAAGCGCAATTGCACGGGGACTGTGTGTCCTCGCGACTGCCAGTACAGTGACTGGCTTGGAAACACCAACAATGGGTGGAGTGTGTGCGACAAGGGCACGGGCACGCAAACCCGCACTCGCGTCGAACTGATCTCGGCCGAAAACGGGGGCAAGTCGTGTTCGGACCTGTGGGGGCCGCCCATTCAAACCAAGAACTGCGCCGTGGACTGCGAAGGGAGCTACGGAGCGTGGGGGAACACTTGCAACGGCAAAACAGGAACGGTGGCCCGGCAGTTCAACATGGCGGTGACCCCACTGAACGGTGGCGCGGCGTGCCCTGCGGAGGTGGACTCGAAAGACTGCAACCCCGCGTGTGCGGACATTCCGTGGGGTGAGTACAGCGCGTGCAGTCCCGTGACTGGCAATCGCACTCGCACGCGCGATGTACCCGTTGACGCCAACTGGTTCAAACTCACGACGATCCTCAAAGCGAACAAGTGCCCCACCATTGACGTGCAACCTTGCAACGTGCATTGCCAAGTGGGTCCGTGGTTGGATGCGGAAGCTGCCACGTGTGACCTCAACACGGGTACCAAGACCCTCACTCGCCCCATTGTACAACCCGCTCGTTTTTGTGGCACTCCCTGCGACTCAGCCGCACATGATACGCTTCTGACCAAGACGGTGCCGTGCAGTGTGTCGTGCGTGGTGGACAAGTGGGGGCCGTGGACGTGCGACGAGTCGACGGGAGTCGCCACTCGTCGTCGGTCCGTGCTTCAAGCGCCGCTTAACAACGGCACCGCCTGTGGCGACACGAGCCAGACGCAAGACTGCCGGACGGTGTCGTGTCCGATCTGCGCGGCGACGTGCGAACCCACCGAGTGGGTGGCCGACATCGCGTGCAATATGACCACGTGCACGTCCAAGAAGGTCCGGTCTCGACGATACCCTGACCGAGATGCCGACAAGCCGTGCCAGTTGGAAGCGTTTGACCCGTGCACGGCCGACGCGGTCATGGGACCGTGGTCCGACTGGAGTGAGTGCGATGACTCTGCCAAGCGCACTCGCACTCGGGCGATTGTTTCCCCAGCGTGCAATTGGGGAGCGGTGGCAGGACACACGACCGAGACCCAGTCGTGCCAGTCGATCTGCCTGCCTCGGCACAATCCGTGGCCGGTTGACGAGGACGGCCAAGACGTGTGGGGGCCGTGCAACCAAGCCACGGGGCTGCAGACTAGACGTCGCGGGATTGTCAAGCCCCCCACCGCTGGCCAAGAGCCCTGCCGAACGTCGGAGACCCGCTCATGTGCAGTCAACTGTGTCCTGGACTCGTGGAGTGCCTGGTCCAATTGTGATAATGGTCTGCGCAACCGCACTCGCAGCATCCTCCAGCCCATGCTCAACGGGGGCAGTCAGTGTGGACCCACCCAAGAGACGGACGACTGCGCGGAGACGTGTGTGACTGGGGCGTGGAGCCCGTGGAGCGCACCGGACGCCGAGTGTGTGTGCTACAGCACCCGCGACCAGTTATCCCCGGCACGCAACGGAGGGGCCTGTGTGTTGACGCAGAGCAACCCGTCGTGTGTTCAGAACTGCATAGTTGGCAGCTGGAACGTGACGGGGGATTGCCTTTTGACCGGGCCACACGCGGGGTACCGACGACTAACTCGGGCCGTGATTACGCCACCGTGCAACGGCGGCGCTTCTTGTGGGGCGACCGAGTCTTGGGAATCGTGCGACGTCCACTGCGTCATGAGCGACTGGGGTCCGTTTGGCAAGTGCGACCTCGCAACCCAGACGTCGACGGCAGAGAGGGCGATCGTCCAACAAAGTTATGGCAACGGGGACAGTTGTGGTGCCACGACCAAGACGGAGCCGTGCGGCACGTGCGCCGACCTCCTCACGCCTTTCAATTACGAGTCGTGTGACCCTGAGTCGGGCACGCGCACGGGGGTCGCAAAGTGGAAGTACACGCCCAAACAAGGGCAGAAATGCACGTTGCAAGTCACGGAACCCTGTGACGTGGACTGCAAACTCACACCATGGACGGCTGGCAAGTGCAATGTACGAGGCACCCTCGCGGGTAAGCAATCCTTCACGCGGAAGGTTCTAGTCCATCCGTTGAACGGTGGTGACGCGTGCGGGGATTTGGAGAAACTCGAAAAGTGCAGCGTCGATTGCAAACCTACCGACAAGTGGGGAGAGTGGGGTGACTGCCAACCGAATGGATTGATGAACCGTACATTGGGCATTGATTACCCCGCCCAGCACGGAGGTAGCAATGATGCGTGTACCGTATCAGAATCCAAGGCCTGCGCTGTGGACTGCGCGATTGATACAGCGACCGGAAAAGTTAAGCGTGGCTCGTTGAATGGCGGATTGTCGTGCCAAGAAGTAGCCACGGCTGCGGGGCTGCATGGTGACTACTCGGACGTGAGCAACGCTTCCCAATTTGCTACCTTGGCCAGACAACACAAGGAAGTCGTGATGTCGATGTTTGCAGCTGGCGGGGTCGGGGTTATGTTGTTGGTTGGGGTGATGAAGCGCAGATTCCAAGAGCGTAGCCACGGATACAGCTCGGTGTCGCACACGTAAATGAGTTGGTCGTGTCACACGACAAGTTTAATGCATGCAGGGCATATCAAGTTTGCACACTAACGATGGATGTTCTTGTGATTGAAGACTCGAATTTCAAAACTAGCTAGTGGAGTTACGTTAACAATACTCAACCTCATGGTATCAATCCTTGTCAACATATCTGTTCTGATGGCAACGATCAGTTACGATGCGTTTTGGGGGCCATTGATTGATGTGTACAAGATTCAAAGACGTGTTTAGGTTGTATTGTTCTGGTGGGTGTAGTCTGCAATGATTGGCTAGAAAATGAAACCTCTGATTTATCCGGAAATGCGTGATCTTCGAAAGTGCAATCCTACAAGAATACAGCGATAGAATGGTTTAACGAAGACTATGAGCATTCAAACGACCTGATTAAAATATCTTGTGGGTTACCGTCTCAAAAAGCTTCAAGAGGTGATTCATCTTCACATTTGCTTTGTTGTGCTCAAGTGTCCTCTCTAAGTATGCGTCTTTCCCTGTCATTGTCCATTATCTATGCTGCCAATGCCGCGCAGGCGTTGAATTACGACCCCAAGTCGGTGCTCGGTGTGAACGACCCCGTGTTGATTGCCAAGATCGAAGGCTACATGCCTCCCATTTGCTCCTCGTTGTACGGCGACGCCCAGCATTGGACGGACTGGAGCATCTGCTCGGCCAAGTGCGGCAAGGGTGAACAAGTGCGCTTCCTCACCAACGACGCCAAGAAGAACCTCCAATCGAACGGGTGCGAGATCTCGATCGACAAGCGCGAATGCAACGGCAACGAATGCCCCCAGGATTGCCAATACTCGGACTGGCCGTCGCAGTGGTCCACGTGTGACAAAGCGACCGGCATCCAAGTGCAATCTCGTGAAGAAATCACCCCCGTCAAGAACGGCGGCAAGACATGCGCTGAATTGTGGGGCGGCGTCACGCGCACCCGCCAGTGCGATGTCGACTGCGAAGGCTCGTTCGGCGAGTGGTCGGAGTGCCAAGGCAAGTCGGGCTCCCGCAGCCGCGTGTTCAACAAGACAGTGCAAGCGTTGAACGGCGGCAAGAAGTGCCCGGCGCCCGTTGAGACGGAGCGCTGCAACCCCGAGTGCCAAGCCATTGCGTGGGCGCCGTTCAGCGAGTGCAACCCTGTCACGGGCCTGCACACCCGCACCCGCGACATCCCTTTGGACAGCAACTTTATCCACCTCAAGTCGGCGCTCAAGGCCAACAATTGTCCACTGACCGACACCCAGCCGTGCGACTTGGACTGCAAGGTGTCCGAGTGGAACGACAACGGCACGTGTGACCTCTCCACGGGGACGCGCAAGCTGACGCGCCACGTCGTGCAAAAGGCGGTCAACTGCGGCAAGCCGTGCAACTCGCTGGACCACGACACAAACCTGGAGTCGACGGAGACGTGCCCCGTGCACTGCCAGTTGAGCGACTGGGGCCCGTACTTCTGCGACAAGGTGTCTGGCGTGTCCACGTCGACCCGCACGATCGTGCGCCAGCCCCTCAACGGCGGCAACACGTGCGGCGACTTGCAGCGCACCAAGGACTGCGGTCCGTCCACGTGCGAAACGGGCGACTGGAACACGCAAGAGTGCTCGTACGACACGTGCACGGCCGTGCGCACCCGCGAGCAGCTGTACCCCAAGCGCGACCAGGGCAAGCCGTGCAACCTGTACGACAAGACGCCGTGCACGCTGGACGCCCAGATGTCCGAGTGGAGTGAATGGAGCACGTGCGACGCCACGGGCCACAAGAAACGCTCGCGCGAGATCCTCAACAGCGCGTGCCACGGAGGTGCCCCTGCCGGCCACACCCACGAAAAGACCACCGACGGGTGCGGCAACATCATCTGCGACTCGGTAAACAACCCGTGGCCGTCCAACGAGGATGGAGACGTGTGGGGGCCTTGCGACCAGGTGTCGGGGATCCAAACCCGCCACCGCGCCATCATCACCAAGCCCACGGACGGCACCGTGTGCGAGACGCAGCAATCCCGCACGTGTGCCGTCAACTGCGCGTTGGATGCGTGGCGTCCATGGTCCAAGTGCAACGAATGCACGGGCCTCCAGAACCGCACGCGCAGCGTGTTGCAACCAGACTTGAACGGCGGCAACAAGTGCGGCGACACCAAGGAAGTGCGCAACTGCGACGTCGTATGCGAAGCCACCGAGTGGACCACGTGGTCTGAGCCCGACGACTCGTGCACGTGCACGCGCACGCGGACGGAGCTGTCGCCGGCGTTGAACGGAGGCCAGTGCGTGTTGGAGGACACGGATAAGCACTGCCCCCGCAGCTGCGAAGTGAGCGAGTGGAGCGCGCCAGGCGAGTGCCACACCGAAGGCAAGCACGCCGGCCTGCGCCAATTCAAGCGCACGGTGCTCAAGAAACCGTGCAATGCCGGCGCGGCGTGCCCGGAGCTGGAGAAGTGGGAGACGTGCAACGTGGACTGCGAAGTGGGCGACTTGACCGACTGGGGCAAATGCAACCTCAAGACGCAACTCCAAGAGCGTCACCGCCCCGTGCTCCAGCAGCCTTACAACGAAGGCAAGCAGTGCGGTGCGACCACCGAAGTCCGTGCGTGCGGGACATGCAGCGACCTCGTGGGACCGTTCAAGTACACCAAGTGCGACAAGGAAACGGGCACCCGCACGGGCGTGGCGTCGTGGATCGCCGAACCCAAGCAAGGCCAGGAGTGCCACCTCCAAGTCACGGAACCTTGCGACGTGTCGTGCGACGTGTCCGAGTGGAACGCGGGCACGTGCGACGTGCACACCGCCCAGCAAGTGTTCACCCGCCAAATCGTCGTGGACGCCAAGAACGGCGGCGTCGCGTGTCCCCTGGCGGACGAACTCGTGCGCCACGAGCCGTGCAAGGTGGACTGCGTGGCATCCGACCTGTGGGGCCCCTGGTCCAAGTGCAACGGCCAAGGGTTCTCGTCCCGCAAGAAGATTGTGGACATCGTGGCCCAGAACGGCGGGTCCAACGCCGACTGTTTGGTCGAAGAAGTCAAGGTGTGCGCCGTGGACTGCGCCATCGACACGGATACTGGTGATGTCTTGCAGCCGGCGCTCAACGGCGGCAAGTCGTGCAAGAAGATTGCGGCGGAAAACAACCTCCCGGGCGACTACTCGGACGTCACGACCACCACCAACTTCATGGCCATGGTCAGCGCCAACAAGGAATACGCCATGGCTGCGTTGGCCACTGGTGGCGTCGGCCTCATGTTTGTCGCTGGCTTGATCTCCACGCGCCGCCAACGCCGCGGTGGATACGACTCCATCTCCCGCCAAATCCCCAACTAAAAACCCGTTACATTTCGAGTGCCGTAGCATAATGTGCATTGAATATAATACATTTTGAGTGAACAATCGTCGCCCATTGTATTGATCCATCGGCCTTGTTGGCATATCTCAGAATGAAGACTGGTGCCATCTCGAGAGCAATTCCAGCAGGACGAGTCAGGAACGGTTTCGGCTACCCCTACTCATGATTTTATCACAACCTTCGAACACCATGTACAAGCATACATGTATTAGCGACAATGAAATCACGACTTATTGAATCAATGCAGCTACAGTTGAGGTCAAAACGCCAGCGACCAATCCCGACGCCGACGATTTCACGGTCGTCACTGGCACAGCGGCTGTGGTGGCAGTCGGGACAGCCGCGGTCGTGTTGCTCGGCTTGACAGCAGTCGACTTGGCCTTGATCCACGCCACGGGGTCCTTGGTTACGAGGACGGACAAGTCGTTGTTCCACAAGGAACACGATGCCAACTTGAGTCCGTTGGCTTCACCGACCAACGCCAAGAAGTTCTTGGACGCCAACGAGGCGGTGGCCTGCTTGTCCGTCGGGAGGGCATCCGTGGTGGAGAAGGTGAGTCAGTCGAATCCAGCGTCCGTGGTGCACCCGCCCAAGTTCTTGGATCCCTTGACAGCAGCCACGATTGTTCAGCTGTGCAAGCCGCAGGTTGTTGGGCCGAGACAACCAGCGACGTATGCGAGAGGATAGTGATGGCTTTCATGTGCGTTGTTTGGAGCAAAATGTGTAATGTGTTGCTCTGGGATTACTTAAAAAGGACATCCTTCAGTGGAGTTCCCTACGTTGTGCAAGTCCATGCAATTCGGCTATGGGAAAGGTGGTCCGACGACACGACCTATTTGATCTTGATCTGCCGGTAGCCCAGCTAGATGACGCTTTGAAGCTACTAGTAATGGCAATGGTTGAAGTTGCTCAGTCAAGCGTCGCGGGTGCCTGACGATCTGCAGACTTTACCGGCCCTCTACCGACCGAAAAGCTGCGAACTAAGTTAAAATATTAATAATTGTATCGCAATCAGTTTATCACACTCAACGTGGCCAATTAGAGGTTTTTCTTATTTCCAACATGCGAATAAAATGATATAGTAGTGTAGCATTCCGGCCTTCGCAGCATTTCGGTCGGTAGACTGCTGTCAAGCCGAGCAACACGACCGCGGCTGTCCCGACTGCCACCACAGCCGCTGTGCCAGTGACGACCGTGAAATCGTCGGCGTCGGGATTGGTCGCTGGCGTTTTGACCTCAACTGTAGCTGCATTGATTCAATAAGTCGTGATTTCATTGTCGCTAATACATGTATGCTTGTACATGGTGTTCGAAGGTTGTGATAAAATCATGAGTAGGGGTAGCCGAAACCGTTCCTGACTCGTCCTGCTGGAATTGCTCTCGAGATGGCACCAGTCTTCATTCTGAGATATGCCAACAAGGCCGATGGATCAATACAATGGGCGACGATTGTTCACTCAAAATGTATTATATTCAATGCACATTATGCTACGGCACTCGAAATGTAACGGGTTTTTAGTTGGGGATTTGGCGGGAGATGGAGTCGTATCCACCGCGGCGTTGGCGGCGCGTGGAGATCAAGCCAGCGACAAACATGAGGCCGACGCCACCAGTGGCCAACGCAGCCATGGCGTATTCCTTGTTGGCGCTGACCATGGCCATGAAGTTGGTGGTGGTCGTGACGTCCGAGTAGTCGCCCGGGAGGTTGTTTTCCGCCGCAATCTTCTTGCACGACTTGCCGCCGTTGAGCGCCGGCTGCAAGACATCACCAGTATCCGTGTCGATGGCGCAGTCCACGGCGCACACCTTGACTTCTTCGACCAAACAGTCGGCGTTGGACCCGCCGTTCTGGGCCACGATGTCCACAATCTTCTTGCGGGACGAGAACCCTTGGCCGTTGCACTTGGACCAGGGGCCCCACAGGTCGGATGCCACGCAGTCCACCTTGCACGGCTCGTGGCGCACGAGTTCGTCCGCCAGGGGACACGCGACGCCGCCGTTCTTGGCGTCCACGACGATTTGGCGGGTGAACACTTGCTGGGCGGTGTGCACGTCGCACGTGCCCGCGTTCCACTCGGACACGTCGCACGACACGTCGCAAGGTTCCGTGACTTGGAGGTGGCACTCCTGGCCTTGCTTGGGTTCGGCGATCCACGACGCCACGCCCGTGCGGGTGCCCGTTTCCTTGTCGCACTTGGTGTACTTGAACGGTCCCACGAGGTCGCTGCATGTCCCGCACGCACGGACTTCGGTGGTCGCACCGCACTGCTTGCCTTCGTTGTAAGGCTGCTGGAGCACGGGGCGGTGACGCTCTTGGAGTTGCGTCTTGAGGTTGCATTTGCCCCAGTCGGTCAAGTCGCCCACTTCGCAGTCCACGTTGCACGTCTCCCACTTCTCCAGCTCCGGGCACGCCGCGCCGGCATTGCACGGTTTCTTGAGCACCGTGCGCTTGAATTGGCGCAGGCCGGCGTGCTTGCCTTCGGTGTGGCACTCGCCTGGCGCGCTCCACTCGCTCACTTCGCAGCTGCGGGGGCAGTGCTTATCCGTGTCCTCCAACACGCACTGGCCTCCGTTCAACGCCGGCGACAGCTCCGTCCGCGTGCGCGTGCACGTGCACGAGTCGTCGGGCTCAGACCACGTGGTCCACTCGGTGGCTTCGCATACGACGTCGCAGTTGCGCACTTCCTTGGTGTCGCCGCACTTGTTGCCGCCGTTCAAGTCTGGTTGCAACACGCTGCGCGTGCGGTTCTGGAGGCCCGTGCATTCGTTGCACTTGGACCATGGACGCCACGCATCCAACGCGCAGTTGACGGCACACGTGCGGGATTGCTGCGTCTCGCACACGGTGCCGTCCGTGGGCTTGGTGATGATGGCGCGGTGGCGGGTTTGGATCCCCGACACCTGGTCGCAAGGCCCCCACACGTCTCCATCCTCGTTGGACGGCCACGGGTTGTTTACCGAGTCGCAGATGATGTTGCCGCACCCGTCGGTGGTCTTTTCGTGGGTGTGGCCGGCAGGGGCACCTCCGTGGCACGCGCTGTTGAGGATCTCGCGCGAGCGTTTCTTGTGGCCCGTGGCGTCGCACGTGCTCCATTCACTCCACTCGGACATCTGGGCGTCCAGCGTGCACGGCGTCTTGTCGTACAGGTTGCACGGCTTGCCCTGGTCGCGCTTGGGGTACAGCTGCTCGCGGGTGCGCACGGCCGTGCACGTGTCGTACGAGCACTCTTGCGTGTTCCAGTCGCCCGTTTCGCACGTGGACGGACCGCAGTCCTTGGTGCGCTGCAAGTCGCCGCACGTGTTGCCGCCGTTGAGGGGCTGGCGCACGATCGTGCGGGTCGACGTGGACACGCCAGACACCTTGTCGCAGAAGTACGGGCCCCAGTCGCTCAACTGGCAGTGCACGGGGCACGTCTCCGTCGACTCCAGGTTTGTGTCGTGGTCCAGCGAGTTGCACGGCTTGCCGCAGTTGACCGCCTTTTGCACGACGTGGCGCGTCAGCTTGCGCGTCCCCGTGGAGAGGTCACACGTGCCGTTGTCGTTCCACTCGGACACCTTGCAGTCCAAGTCGCACGGCTGGGTGTCGGTCAGTGGACAATTGTTGGCCTTGAGCGCCGACTTGAGGTGGATAAAGTTGCTGTCCAAAGGGATGTCGCGGGTGCGGGTGTGCAGGCCCGTGACAGGGTTGCACTCGCTGAACGGCGCCCACGCAATGGCTTGGCACTCGGGGTTGCAGCGCTCCGTCTCAACGGGCGCCGGGCACTTCTTGCCGCCGTTCAACGCTTGCACTGTCTTGTTGAACACGCGGCTGCGGGAGCCCGACTTGCCTTGGCACTCCGACCACTCGCCGAACGAGCCTTCGCAGTCGACATCGCACTGGCGGGTGCGCGTGACGCCGCCCCACAATTCAGCGCATGTCTTGCCGCCGTTCTTGACGGGGGTGATTTCTTCACGAGATTGCACTTGGATGCCGGTCGCTTTGTCACACGTGGACCACTGCGACGGCCAGTCCGAGTATTGGCAATCCTGGGGGCATTCGTTGCCGTTGCATTCGCGCTTGTCGATCGAGATCTCGCACCCGTTCGATTGGAGGTTCTTCTTGGCGTCGTTGGTGAGGAAGCGCACTTGTTCACCCTTGCCGCACTTGGCCGAGCAGATGCTCCAGTCCGTCCAATGCTGGGCGTCGCCGTACAACGAGGAGCAAATGGGAGGCATGTAGCCTTCGATCTTGGCAATCAACACGGGGTCGTTCACACCGAGCACCGACTTGGGGTCGTAATTCAACGCCTGCGCGGCATTGGCAGCATAGATAATGGACAATGACAGGGAAAGACGCATACTTAGAGAGGACACTTGAGCACAACAAAGCAAATGTGAAGATGAATCACCTCTTGACGCTTTGAACTCCGTCACTTGGAAGGATATGTTGGTAATTGCATTTGTATATCACTTTTAGATTGAGTGTAGCGGACGCACGTATTGCCAAAAGGTTGCTTTTTGGAACATTCCAATCCGGATAAGTCGGGCGTTTCAAGTTTCCACCAATCCCAGCCCAGGACTTGGCTAAAGGTTGCCGTACTACATCCTTTGGGGTTACAACACGAAAAACGGCACAAGACATCCAAACTACCTGGCAGTATAATTCCAGTGTATTACAAGTCGTTATAGACTGGCGGGGGGTCCGTAAACACATATTTCGTTGGGAGGTCAATGCACTCATCCGTCGCTTGGTCCACCATTGTGGACTTGCGCAGCATGTCAGCCTTCCGCTTCTTGGCTTCCAGATGTGATTTCATACTGGAGTTGGACACGGTTTTCTTGGACGACGTTTGCCGCTCTTGCTCCTTCTGGTGGCGCACCCCTGCAAAGAAGAGCGCCTCGTCCTTGGCTTTGAGGCTTTCCTTTCGAGCGTATATGTCTTCCTGGCAGCATCGCACTTTCGTCACGACCGAGTATACGTGCTCGAGCTTCATCTCCATGAGGAGGGCATCCGCATAAATCGGACGAATGTTTTGAGCATACAGCGCCAACTTGACGTTGAGCCACTCCTCGCCCACGAGAAACACGGGGAATTCTTTGGCCACTGCTAACGTCATTTGCTCCTAGCATATAGTTTTTTGAAAGTTACAGGTTGAATCATGCAGTGAAGCAAAGTGTACACACGTTAAACGATAGGTCGTCCGGGACGCATGAAAACCCCACGCTCGCCAACACGGCAAATATCTTGGATCGGAGGTCGACTTTGGCTGTGGCTGTCACCAACCCTACATCCATATGCAGGTCCATGTCATCATTTGTGTATTCGTACAGACGACGTACGTCGGCTAGGATCAGTGTGTCGGGTGCCTTTTGAATGCACGAGCGCTTGTTTCAGCCGCACGAAGGCCACCACCGGCTGCTTGTCACTCCCTAGAAGTGTTGCCCACTTCACGATGGTCCGATACGTATATATCATATCTATGACCCCCACCAGACGAGGGAGACGGGGGCGTCACTTGCATCGCAAGCGGTCGCGCAATGTTTTGCAGTAGTCCCGTGGCAGGTCGTTGGACCCCCAAGCGAGTTTCTTCGTCCGCGTACATGCGAAGCAGCATCTGGGTGGCGCTGCATTGGGTTTTACTCTTCCACGCTTGAAAATACGCCACCGCCTTGACATTTTCACACAGTTCAGCGAGTACACCGAGGACCTGGCCGTGCATGAGCTGAGGGCACCTGCATGTGTTCATCATCATCATTCCGCTCCGTTAATTATTGCTAAGTTTTGGACGTACACTTCGAGCAAATCGAGGAGGTTGTCGACACCCTCGGATTGGATCAGACACAGCTCGCTCTCGGCGTTGCCAATGATGCTGTCCCAGACACATCCCACGACGGATACGATCAGGTTGTCCTGGCTCACCGCGTGCGCGGGTTCAAAGTGCAAGTGCAAACTCAATACGGCAACCCCTTGAGCCCGGCGGAACCGCGTTTGATTGGCGTCGTGGTGGTGGCACATGGCACCGCATACGGCAACTATCCATCCACCAGAATGAGAAAAATGGGTGGCTGGGGGCGTTCGACGTACTGGCCGTGCGGCGCACTGCACACGCCCGAGCGACGTCTGCAAACAGCGTCAGCATGACTTCGACACCGCCGATGTTGCCCACGTCCGTTTGCATATCGTTGGACGTCGAGATGAGCTCGTGGAAGAGCTGGAGGGCCAACGCACTGGCGTCTTCGTCGTGGCTTGTCTACGGCGCGCCACGTCATCGCACACCATCTAATGTCGTTGTGGTACCTGCACGAATTCCAACAGCGCGACGTGGCCAAGCAGTTGGACAAACAGGTCGGGCATGCGCGGGGCCAGCGTCGAGAGGACATGCAGCGCCATGACTTGCAGCACATGCCGTTGGGCGGGTGTAAAGTGCTGCCCACCGTGGTGCGATTGAGGAGACACGTACAGCAACAATACGTGAATAAACGGCGAGTCAGAGACCAGGCGGGCGGCTTCCATGTTGTCTTTGGCCACGTCGGCTAGCACCACCCATAGCATGTGCTTGAACTCGAAATCTTCGTCGCAGGACGAGGCAAAGTGGGATGATTTGGCCAAAGTTGACGTGGTGGTGCTGGGGAGGTCCGCGGCAGTCGCGTATTTGAGCAAGGTCCCGAGCAGTCCGGATTCTGCGAACAGCGGCAGGTTCCGCGCCTTGGACGCGAGAATGTCGAGGATCATCAACGTGGTGTTGCTATAGTACGACAAAACGTCAAACATGGAAAGGGATAGAACTTTCAGATGTGGTCAATGTGGACATAAAAAAATGATATATTTTGAAACATCCACATGATGTCAAAAGTGATATATATATATGAGACCAATCTGAGAAAAACGATAGCAACAGTGACATCACTTCCGACAACTGCAGTGAGTTATTACCGGAGTTCCTTGTCTTGTTTGCGGTAGCCGTGCACGAGCAATCGCTGCAACAGCTTGTGCAGCACTTGAAACGTCCGAAGGCTACCCATTGCGTGGATGGCGTTGGTCGTGCGAAGCGCGTGGAGCATCACGGCGCGTGATCTGCAGCTTTGGATGGTGGCAGTGGTCGTGGCGCTAATCTCCAGCACGTTCCACAGAATTTCAAGGCACAGCGGCAAAAATTCGTCGCGCAGGTCGTCGATTTGATCGAGGATGTCTAGAATGCGGTCGTGGCTGCCGTGGGCCGTGAGGATCTGGGCGTTGGGTCCCCAGCTAGAGATCTCTTGAAGCAAGTCCACGATGGGGAATAGAAGCAAGTCCATCCGTTTGTTGCGGTTAGCGTCGTCACTGGCCTGGGTATTCGACAGTTGGAACACCTTGTGACAATGATGTAATATCGCACCTCTTGGTCGTCCAAAAGACGCTGCAGGGCCGCGGCGGACGCCTCGACAATCCCACAACGCTCGACGAGTTGCTGGGAGTAATCTCTGGGCAGCGGTCGCTGGTCATCGCTATGGTCGTCCGAGTTGCCGCTTTGTCGAGGGGGATGGCCCAGACCTAAAAGAGCGACTTGGGAATCCAGAGGAAAGCGCAACGAGTGCCATACATGCGCCGGTGGCCAATGCTCGAAGGGTGTCGGCGGCAACGACTTGGATCTGTGGTTCGAACGACAGGAGAAACTCGCCTAACAGGCACATCAACGTGTGCAACAACTGGGGCGACGTGAACTCTTCGTTCGATTTCACTCGCAAGTATGGCTACATGCATACACAGTTGTTAGGATGGCAGGTATGGAATATGGTCAAGTCATAATGTACTTTGCTGCAGTGGGCGACGAGGCCACACACTGGCTCGATCAACACGTCGACGCCAGCCTCGATCTTCTCGTATGCGACGCGCAATATCGCCTCCACCTCTGGCAAATCTTGCATCTTGAACCTATGGTTGTGTGTTAGAAGAAGGCAAAATATGCTTTTATAGCAACGAACACACCCCGATGGAAATTTCTGAACCAACACTTGCAGCAGCGCCACCTGCCGCGAGTAAAGGTCGGCCGTCTGTTTGTCTTGGAACGTGTCCAAGATCTTTCTGAAGTCCGCGGCGCTACCAGCGTCGTCCACCATGGTTGGCTCTATCGTTGCCACCGCCGTACTCGACAACGCCGTCCTGGCTTTCATAACCGCTGTAGTCGTTTCAACAACATCGGTTTCACCAAACCCGAGTGTCGAAAACACTATCCGGATTTCATTGCATTCTCCGCGTATTGATTCCAAACAAAATACCATCTGAAAGCCGAATTTAAGATCATTCTAACTTGGACGGACTGTCACCAAACGCTTGTTCTACGACTGCCGCAGCAAATCACCCTAATGTACACGTCACATATGTCTAATTGTGGTGCCGTGAAGCTGGCCCCTTTGCCGAACGAAGTTACTGTGTGCATTGCCAATCGTCCGGATACGAACGCCATCTCTTTGCACCGAGCGATTCGATTGGCTAAATTTTGTTTTCGAGCCAGAACGGTCTCGGATTGGTCAATTTAGTGACGGAGGGGTTGGGATCAATCCTGTGGAGTTGAACAAACCAGTCATTTCAGTCAACCCCTTCGTCCATTGCTGCGAATATGAGCTTTAGCCGCGTCCTTCGTTCGTCGGCGTCGTCTGTCGGCGTGCGTCATGCCAGCTCCCTGTCCGAAGTATTTTCCTCGGTCCCCACCGGCACGCCTGCGTCGCTCTCCAGCGAAGTCACTGTAGGTAAGACCACCAAGGGCCTCGGGTTGGCGTCGTCGTCGCCGGCGTACGCGACGACGGCCACTTTGGGTGTGGTGTTCAACACTGGTTCCCGCCACGAAACGGCCAAGGATGCCGGTATTTCGTTGTTGGCCAGCAAGATGGCCTTCCGTGCCACGAAGGACCAATCTGACTTGGCGGTATTCCGTGACATCGAAGCGATCGGAGGTTCCGTGTCTAGCCGCGCCGGCCGCGACTACGTGTCGTGGAACATCACCGTGGCGCCCGAGTACGTGAACGACGCCGCGGCCATCTTGGCGGAATCGTTGTTCGCTCCCCGCCATGCGGACTGGGACATCAACACCCAAAAGGAAAAGGTCGCCGTGGACGAAGAACTGTTCCATGCCAACGCCGTCGAGCTCTTGGTGCAAGGCGTGCATGCCGCTGCGTTCTACGACAACCGCACGTTGGGTCGCTCTATCTACGCCAAGGACAACTTGTCCAAGTTGAACTCGAAGCACTTGGAAGCGTTCTATGCGCACCACGCCACCGCCAGCAACTTGGTGTTGGTCGGCCGCAACATCGCCCAGGCGTCGTTGATCGACGTGGCCAACACTTACTTTGCCGACATCGCTGCCGGTCAAGTGACTGCCACCACCCCCGCCGCGTACGTCGGTGGCGAACACCGCACGGCCGCGTCCTCGTCGCATGCGTACGTGGCGGTGGGGTTCTCTGCCGGCGGCGCCCTTGTCGGCAAGGACTTGCACACCGCGCACGTGTTGGAGCACTTGCTCACCCAGCGCTCGGGTCCGTTCTCGACGGGTTTCGCCGCCAACTACGCCGATGCGTCGTTGGTGGGGTTGAGTGGCGTGGCCAAAGCGGGCGACGCGTCCGCGCTTACGTTCGCCTTGCTCAAGGACATCCAATCGTTGGCCAGCCAGTCCGTGGCGGCTGCCGAGTTGGAAGGCGCCAAGAAGTCGAGCGGCTTGGGCTACAGCTCGTGGGTTGAGTCCAAGGATGGGTCGCTCACGCAGCTGGCCCGCTCCGCCAAGACCCAAAAGGCCATCACCGAACGCGATGTGCAGCAAGGGTTGGCTGCCGTGACCGCCGCCGACGTCCAGGCGTTGGCCCAAAAGCTGGTTGCGTCCAAGCCGCTGTTGGCGTCCGTGGGAAACGTCGCCGCCGTGCCTCGCTACGACGACATTGTCAAGAAACTGTAAACAACCAGGACGTGGGATATCTAGTACTAGAAATGAATAGATGGCCTTTGTCATGTGGTTCCGTTACGAAGTTTTTGTTGATGAGTGGTCACTTCATACGTAGTATGAGTTGTAGCTGCCATAACGTCAAACAGGGTGGAACTTTTGGCCTGCTGCGATGGTATGTACGTACACTATTGTGGATTCGTTACAAATTTCCAGACCTCGCCGAATCGAATCTCGCCGCTGAATCGACGCTATTGGCTAATCCAAATTTGAGTAGATTTGATTGGCTCTTACAGAAAAGACAAAATATTCAACCAATCATAACTCCAGCGTGATTCAATATTGATTAGACCAACACCAGGAAGGTTATAGCGAATTCACAATATCTCTGGTCTACACATATGGGGGACGAATAGAGCCATGTCCATTGCATAAGATGAGAAATCCACAAACCCTTTAACATGCATCGACAACACCATTCAAGTCTTCATGCTGTTGGCTGGTGGGGGGGGAGGGGCGTTTGCAAATGCGATGGCGTTTTGAATACATGAATCGTCAGGTACGGTACTACAGGTACTAGTTACAGTATGTATGCAAATGGAAACTGGAAAGGGGCGTTCTTGTACTAGCGTTAGTTTAACTGTCTTGTACGAGTTTGCCTGCGCGCGCCGCGAGTTTTTTCGCCGACGGCTTTCGCTTTCGGCGTTTGGGGGGGTGTACCGCCTTGGGCAGTTCGTAGCTATCTTTGGACGCCGGCCACTGCGCCCCCCAGTGCGCCTTGCGCGCTGCACGGTACACATCACGGATCGCCCGGCCTTTGGTCACTGGTCGTCGCTCCAACTCACCCTATGTACCGATCGCCCCGTCATCAACTTGTACATGCCACCGGTGTTTGGATGGTTCTGTCATACCTCGGGGTGGCATAAGTCCAACGTCACATGACGCGAGCTCAACAACGGCCCCCTACGCCGCCGCCACAGAAGTACGTATTGAGCTAACTCTACAACAGATTCGGGTGGTGCGAGTATATTACCGCGTCATGCGGGCCGGCGGAAGCTCTGTCCTGGTGGCCACGTCGGTCTCGGAATTGTGGCTCGCCTTCTTCTCAATCGTCACGTACGAAAACTTCATGCTCGTGTAGCCAGCCCATCGTTGGGTCGTCGGTAGCCGCGGCTGCGTCACGCGAGGTGTCCGCTGCACGAAATGACACCACTCGCCTTCTTTCATGGGGCACTATACCACCCACAAGTTGTTGCTTGTGAGTGTATGTCGCATATGCCCGCTCGAGGCGAAATGATGGTAGGTACTTACTTCTTTTTGATGGGGGCACGGACCGAGCACTTTGCCGCCTTGGATGCGAGGCGTGGCGTCGTCAGACACGACCACTTCGTCTGCATTGGTCGTGAGGGAGTCGAGGATAAACTGTCGAGCTGACCGCACTTGGAGCGACCCCCACGAGTTGCCTATACAGTGACATGTACATGTCAAGTCCCATCCATAGTAGTCATGGAAAGTTAGCGAGGTTTATGATGGACTAGATACGAGTAGATGGTCGTGGGTACCTCGGTCCACGAGCACCAGCCGGCCGTTTTCAGCAAGCAAACTCCACAGCGTCGACACGATCGCAATCCGCTCAATGTCGTTAGTGATGTCGCTCAGCACAAAACTGGCCATAATCAAGTCGTACTGCTTGCCCTTGGCGATCTCGCGCTTCATTTCACCGAGGGATTTGCGGAAACTCAGGCCGCGGAAGCCTTCCATGATCACGTTGGCGGCATCCGCCATTGACTGACTCGGTTCCACGAGGCGGTACTCTTGGAGCGACTCGTCAAAGAACTCCTTGGCCACCCACGACGCCGTGCCTGGCCCCGACCCGAAGTCAAGCATCGACTTGGGCTGGAAAGGGGTTGCTTCGCCGTCGGCGTCTGTCATTTGGCGCAGCACATGGTGCACGGACGAGTACACGCCGTCCATTTCGAACGCCATGTACGCCATCGTTTCTTGCGGGCCGTAGAGGAACTCGGGGATCTTGGCCTTCTTGTCCATCTCCCATCCGATCTGCTCGTTGTGGCTATCCCACGGGAACCGCGACTTGGACGTACCAAGGGTGATCGTTTCTTTGAGTTTTTCCAACTGGACTTGTGTGCGTTCCTTCAGCAACATCGACACGCGTTGCCGCAACGGCTCGGGAAACACGTGCAACTGGTTCAGGCCAATGGACGACAGGCCATCCACGATGTCTGCGGTGTCGTTGATCTTGGAGATACGACTGATCGTCTCCTTGCCCTTGGTCAGTGCAGACTTGGCCGAGCTCCAGAACGACCGCCGACCCGCCAACATCATCATGATCGTTGATTGATTGAAGTTGTTGGCCAAGCAAGTACACGGCGCGTTGATTGGTCAGCGGTTGACACGAAATAGTGTGAGCCTTTTGTACATTTCTCAGAAACTCATTTATAGTCGAAATAAATGATAATTTCATTTATTACATGATCATTGTGTCATTGTGTCAAGCACCAATCAATAATATGGGCGTGTTCGGAGCGACTTTTGTGTCAGCGGTTTTTGGAAAAGTAGCCAATCAAAATCGTTTCCATCGACTTTTGCAAAAACCGCTCTGGACGACCTCCCTGAGGTCGTTTACAGCGACTTTTGGGATTGTGGCTATTTATTGGTCAAAAATATCAGAATAAATTGTTGGTTGCAAACCAAAATTTCGCAGGAGTACGCCCAAA